GGCTGAACTCACTTGATACGAGCTGTTGTTGAGAATACTCAGAAACCAGCTCGGATTCTGCATGGCTGAACTCACTTGATACGAGCTGTTGTTGAGAATACTCAGAAACCAGCTCGGATTCTGCATGGCTGAACTCACTTGATACGAGCTGTTGTTGAGAATACTCAAAAACCAGCTCGGATTCTGCATGGCTGAACTCACTTGATACGAGCTGTTGTTGAGAATACTCAAAAACCAGCTCGGATTCTGCATGGCTGAACTCACTTGATACGAGCTGTTGTTGAGAATACTCAAAAATCAGCTCGGATTCTGCATGGCTGAACTCACTTGATACGAGCTGTTGTTGAGAATACTCAAAAACCAGCTCGGATTCTGCATGGCTGAACTCACTTGATACGAGCTGTTGTTGAGAATACTCAAAAACCAGCTCGGATTCTGCATGGCTGAACTCACTTGATACGAGCTGTTGTTGAGAATACTCAAAAACCAGCTCGGATTCTGCATGGCTGAACTCACTTGATACGAGCTGTTGTTGAGAATACTCAAAAACCAGCTCGGATTCTGCATGGCTGAACTCACTTGATACGAGCTGTTGTTGAGAATACTCAAAAACCAGCTCGGATTCTGCATGGCTGAACTCACTTGATACGAGCTGTTGTTGAGAATACTCAAAAACCAGCTCGGATTCTGCATGGCTGAACTCACTTGATACGAGCTGTTGTTGAGAATACTCAGAAACCAGCTCGGATTCTGCATGGCTGAACTCACTTGATACGAGCTGTTGTTGAGAATACTCAGAAACCAGCTCGGATTCTGCATGGCTGAACTCACTTGATACGAGCTGTTGTTGAGAATACTCAAAAACCAGCTCGGATTCTGCATGGCTGAACTCACTTGATACGAGCTGTTGTTGAGAATACTCAAAAACCAGCTCGGATTCTGCATGGCTGAACTCACTTGATACGAGCTGTTGTTGAGAATACTCAAAAACCAGCTCGGATTCTGCATGGCTGAACTCACTTGATACGAGCTGTTGTTGAGAATACTCAAAAACCAGCTCGGATTCTGCATGGCTGAACTCACTTGATACGAGCTGTTGTTGAGAATACTCAAAAACCAGCTCGGATTCTGCATGGCTGAACTCACTTGATACGAGCTGTTGTTGAGAATACTCAAAAACCAGCTCGGATTCTGCATGGCTGAACTCACTTGATACGAGCTGTTGTTGAGAATACTCAAAAACCAGCTCGGATTCTGCATGGCTGAACTCACTTGATACGAGCTGTTGTTGAGAATACTCAAAAACCAGCTCGGATTCTGCATGGCTGAACTCACTTGATACGAGCTGTTGTTGAGAATACTCAAAAACCAGCTCGGATTCTGCATGGCTGAACTCACTTGATACGAGCTGTTGTTGAGAATACTCAAAAACCAGCTCGGATTCTGCATGGCTGAACTCACTTGATACGAGCTGTTGTTGAGAATACTCAGAAACCAGCTCGGATTCTGCATGGCTGAACTCACTTGATACGAGCTGTTGTTGAGAATACTCAGAAACCAGCTCGGATTCTGCATGGCTGAACTCACTTGATACGAGCTGTTGTTGAGAATACTCAAAAACCAGCTCGGATTCTGCATGGCTGAACTCACTTGATACGAGCTGTTGTTGAGAATACTCAGAAACCAGCTCGGATTCTGCATGGCTGAACTCACTTGATACGAGCTGTTGTTGAGAATACTCAGAAACCAGCTCGGATTCTGCATGGCTGAACTCACTTGATACGAGCTGTTGTTGAGAATACTCAAAAACCAGCTCGGATTCTGCATGGCTGAACTCACTTGATACGAGCTGTTGTTGAGAATACTCAAAAACCAGCTCGGATTCTGCATGGCTGAACTCACTTGATACGAGCTGTTGTTGAGAATACTCAAAAACCAGCTCGGATTCTGCATGGCTGAACTCACTTGATACGAGCTGTTGTTGAGAATACTCAAAAACCAGCTCGGATTCTGCATGGCTGAACTCACTTGATACGAGCTGTTGTTGAGAATACTCAAAAACCAGCTCGGATTCTGCATGGCTGAACTCACTTGATACGAGCTGTTGTTGAGAATACTCAAAAACCAGCTCGGATTCTGCATGGCTGAACTCACTTGATACGAGCTGTTGTTGAGAATACTCAGAAACCAGCTCGGATTCTGCATGGCTGAACTCACTTGATACGAGCTGTTGTTGAGAATACTCAGAAACCAGCTCGGATTCTGCATGGCTGAACTCACTTGATACGAGCTGTTGTTGAGAATACTCAAAAACCAGCTCGGATTCTGCATGGCTGAACTCACTTGATACGAGCTGTTGTTGAGAATACTCAAAAACCAGCTCGGATTCTGCATGGCTGAACTCACTTGATACGAGCTGTTGTTGAGAATACTCAAAAACCAGCTCGGATTCTGCATGGCTGAACTCACTTGATACGAGCTGTTGTTGAGAATACTCAAAAACCAGCTCGGATTCTGCATGGCTGAACTCACTTGATACGAGCTGTTGTTGAGAATACTCAAAAACCAGCTCGGATTCTGCATGGCTGAACTCACTTGATACGAGCTGTTGTTGAGAATACTCAAAAACCAGCTCGGATTCTGCATGGCTGAACTCACTTGATACGAGCTGTTGTTGAGAATACTCAAAAACCAGCTCGGATTCTGCATGGCTGAACTCACTTGATACGAGCTGTTGTTGAGAATACTCAAAAACCAGCTCGGATTCTGCATGGCTGAACTCACTTGATACGAGCTGTTGTTGAGAATACTCAAAAACCAGCTCGGATTCTGCATGGCTGAACTCACTTGATACGAGCTGTTGTTGAGAATACTCAAAAACCAGCTCGGATTCTGCATGGCTGAACTCACTTGATACGAGCTGTTGTTGAGAATACTCAAAAACCAGCTCGGATTCTGCATGGCTGAACTCACTTGATACGAGCTGTTGTTGAGAATACTCAAAAACCAGCTCGGATTCTGCATGGCTGAACTCACTTGATACGAGCTGTTGTTGAGAATACTCAAAAACCAGCTCGGATTCTGCATGGCTGAACTCACTTGATACGAGCTGTTGTTGAGAATACTCAAAAACCAGCTCGGATTCTGCATGGCTGAACTCACTTGATACGAGCTGTTGTTGAGAATACTCAAAAACCAGCTCGGATTCTGCATGGCTGAACTCACTTGATACGAGCTGTTGTTGAGAATACTCAAAAACCAGCTCGGATTCTGCATGGCTGAACTCACTTGATACGAGCTGTTGTTGAGAATACTCAAAAACCAGCTCGGATTCTGCATGGCTGAACTCACTTGATACGAGCTGTTGTTGAGAATACTCAAAAACCAGCTCGGATTCTGCATGGCTGAACTCACTTGATACGAGCTGTTGTTGAGAATACTCAAAAACCAGCTCGGATTCTGCATGGCTGAACTCACTTGATACGAGCTGTTGTTGAGAATACTCAAAAACCAGCTCGGATTCTGCATGGCTGAACTCACTTGATACGAGCTGTTGTTGAGAATACTCAAAAACCAGCTCGGATTCTGCATGGCTGAACTCACTTGATACGAGCTGTTGTTGAGAATACTAAAAAACCAGCTCGGATTCTGCATGGCTGAACTCACTTGATACGAGCTGTTGTTGAGAATACTCAAAAACCAGCTCGGATTCTGCATGGCTGAACTCACTTGATACGAGCTGTTGTTGAGAATACTCAAAAACCAGCTCGGATTCTGCATGGCTGAACTCACTTGATACGAGCTGTTGTTGAGAATACTCAAAAACCAGCTCGGATTCTGCATGGCTGAACTCACTTGATACGAGCTGTTGTTGAGAATACTCAAAAACCAGCTCGGATTCTGCATGGCTGAACTCACTTGATACGAGCTGTTGTTGAGAATACTCAAAAACCAGCTCGGATTCTGCATGGCTGAACTCACTTGATACGAGCTGTTGTTGAGAATACTCAAAAACCAGCTCGGATTCTGCATGGCTGAACTCACTTGATACGAGCTGTTGTTGAGAATACTCAAAAACCAGCTCGGATTCTGCATGGCTGAACTCACTTGATACGAGCTGTTGTTGAGAATACTCAAAAACCAGCTCGGATTCTGCATGGCTGAACTCACTTGATACGAGCTGTTGTTGAGAATACTCAAAAACCAGCTCGGATTCTGCATGGCTGAACTCACTTGATACGAGCTGTTGTTGAGAATACTCAAAAACCAGCTCGGATTCTGCATGGCTGAACTCACTTGATACGAGCTGTTGTTGAGAATACTCAAAAACCAGCTCGGATTCTGCATGGCTGAACTCACTTGATACGAGCTGTTGTTGAGAATACTCAAAAACCAGCTCGGATTCTGCATGGCTGAACTCACTTGATACGAGCTGTTGTTGAGAATACTCAAAAACCAGCTCGGATTCTGCATGGCTGAACTCACTTGATACGAGCTGTTGTTGAGAATACTCAAAAACCAGCTCGGATTCTGCATGGCTGAACTCACTTGATACGAGCTGTTGTTGAGAATACTCAAAAACCAGCTCGGATTCTGCATGGCTGAACTCACTTGATACGAGCTGTTGTTGAGAATACTCAAAAACCAGCTCGGATTCTGCATGGCTGAACTCACTTGATACGAGCTGTTGTTGAGAATACTCAAAAACCAGCTCGGATTCTGCATGGCTGAACTCACTTGATACGAGCTGTTGTTGAGAATACTCAAAAACCAGCTCGGATTCTGCATGGCTGAACTCACTTGATACGAGCTGTTGTTGAGAATACTCAAAAACCAGCTCGGATTCTGCATGGCTGAACTCACTTGATACGAGCTGTTGTTGAGAATACTCAAAAACCAGCTCGGATTCTGCATGGCTGAACTCACTTGATACGAGCTGTTGTTGAGAATACTCAAAAACCAGCTCGGATTCTGCATGGCTGAAAGTGGAGTGCATGCATATGGTCATAAGGGTGAAACGGGATTCTGCATGGCTGAACTCACACCTATCCCTTTCCTCAACCCACCTATCTCCTCCCCTTCACTTCCTTCCGCCCTGCACCATCATGCACAGCATAGCAACGTCTTACATCTCCTTCCTCACATTCCTCCCCCTTCCTCCTCTCCTTCCCCTTCCACTTCCCTTTTCCTCCATCCTCTCCCCCCCCTCAGTATAATGCACGGCATAGCGCTGCACAGGGGGCTGCAGGAGGAGGCGCTAGAGGTGAAGGCACCCCCAACTGCTGCCAAGGTGGGTGCGCCTCTCACTCATGGGGTGTCCTGGGCATGGGTTGCGCTGGGCATGGGTTGCGCTGGGCACGTGAACAAGTGTGCAGTGGACGAGAACGAGAGAGTGTATGACAGCATGTGACTGCGTGTGAATGCATGTGACTTGCATGTGACTCGCGATCTGTACATGACTCTTCCCTCCTTCCCCCCCGCCGCCACCCAGAAGGTCGCATTAGCTAACAAACCCAAGGAGCGGCTGTTGGCAGAGCAAAGGTTGTCCTTCCAGAGGAGGTGGGGGTCACGTTCAGCCTCTGGCTGTCGGATCGGAGGCCTGGAGGCCGTGAAGGACATTCTTAAGGAACTAGTCATGCTGCCCCTCAGGCGCCCAGAGCTCTTCATACGCGGGCAGCTGACCTTTCCCCATCTTCCCTCCCCCGTTTCCCCCTCTTCCCTGTTGAATTCCACCCCCAATGCAGAAAATCACATCTGCTAACAAGTTCGAAGAGCGGCTACTAGCCGAGGTGGTACCCCCAGACGAAGTCGGGGTGACGTTCAGCCAGATCGGTGCCTTAGAAGCCGTGAAGGACACTCTGAAGGAGCTCGTCATGCTGCCTCTCAGGCGGCCAGAGCTGTTCACGCGCGGGCAGCTGACGCGGCCGTGCAAGGGCATTCTGCTGTTCGGCCCGCCCGGCACGGGCAAGACCATGCTGGCCAAGGCCGTGGCCACCGAGGCCGGGGCGAGCTTCATTAACATCTCCATGAGCGCCGTGCTGCACAAGGTGGGTTGGGTGGCTGGTGTGTGGCACGAAATGGATAGCGTAGCAGCAGAGTGGTAGCAGGGTGGAATGCTCTGCTCGTGTGCTGTGCTGCATCTGCATCTGCACAGGGACGAGCTTCATCAACATCTTTCTTGAGCGCTGTGCTGCACAAGGTGGGCTGGGTGGCTGGTGTAGAGTAAATGGAAAAGGGGCAAGCGGAGTGCACATCCCCTCTCCTCTCCTTCTCTGAAACTCCCGTCCCCTTGCCTTGATATTCTCGTCCCTCTTCTCTCAGAAACCTCCTCTTTCCTTCCTTCGTTCCGTCCGTCCGTCCTTCCCTGCATAAGAGGCTGGGCGAGGCCGGCAAGTCAGTCAAGGCGAACGTTACTCCCTCCTTGGCTCCGCCGCTCGCCTCTCCCTCTCCAACATATCCCCCCGCCTTCCTTCCTCTCCAACATATCCCCCCGCCTTCCTTCCTCTCCAACATATCCCCCCGCCTTCCTTCCTCTCCAACATATCCCCCCGCCTTCCTTCCTCTCCAACATATCCTCCCGCCTTCCTTCCTCTCCAACATATCCCCCTGCCTTCCTTCCTCTCCAACATATCCCCCCGCCTTCCTTCCTCTCCAACATATCCCCCCGCCTTCCTTCCTCTCCAACATATCCCCCCGCCTTCCTTCCTCTCCAACATATCCCCCCGCCTTCCTTCCTCTCCAAACCCTTCCGTACCTTCGTGACTTCCTCCCCTCCCCTCTCCCTCTCCCCTTACCCCCATGGCTTGGTGAGCCCGACTAATCATTGAAGGCGCTCTTCTCCCCTTGGCTCCGCTCCTCCCCTCTCCTCTTTAACATTCCCACCCTCCCCTCTCTCCCTCTCCCCTCCCCCAGTAGCTAGGAGAGGCAGAGAAGTCAGTGAATACGATCCTCTCTCTTTAACTCCACCGCTCCCCTCTCCTCTCATATTCCCACCTTCCCCTCATTCCCCCTTCCTCACTCTCGTCACCCCCTCTTCTCCCACCAGTGGCTGGGCGAGGCGGAGAAGTCAGTGAAGGCGATCTTCTCGGTGGCCAGTAAGATGGCGCCAGCTGTCGTGTTCGTGGATGAGGTGGACAGCCTGCTGGGGCGGCGAGGGCAGTGGGGGGAGCACGAGGCGATGCGCAAGGTGAAGAACGAGTTCATGTCGTGTTGGGACGGGCTGCGCACGCGGGCGCATGAGAGAGTGCTGGTTCTGGCGGCCACGAATCGGCCGTTCGATCTTGACGATGCCATCATCCGACGGTTCCCACGACGGTACGGTTCTCCACATTCTCTCCCCTTGTTTTTTTTGGCCGTGGGGAAGGGGTCTTGCTGTGGGGTTGCGTCAAGGGCAGTGAGTGGGGGGCAGTGGGGGGAGCACGAGGCGATGCGCAAGGTGAAGAACGAGTTCATGTCGTGTTGGGACGGGCTGCGCACGCGGGCGCATGAGAGAGTGCTGGTTCTTGCCGCCACCAACCGACCGTTCGATCTTGACGACGCCATCATTCGACGGTTCCCACGACGGTACGGTTCTCCACCCTCTCTCCCCTTGTTCTTTGGCTCGGGGGGAAAGGCGAGAGGGGCTCGTTTTTCTGCGTGGCGAGAAGGGCAGTGGGGATCAGCAATGGGGGGAGCACGGGGCGGACTTACCAGACGCAGACAGACAGCAGGGAGAAGGTCCTTCAAGCCATCCCCTGCCCCTCTCTGCTCTGATCTGCTCTGCTCTGCTCTGCTCAACCCTGAGCCGTCTACTCCATTTCCTCTGTCCCCTTTTCCCTCCTCCCCTCCCTCTCAGGCTGATGGTGGATCTACCAGATGCGGAGAACAGGGAGAAGACCCTGCGAGTGGCTCCCTGCTCTGCTCAACTTAACCCTGACCCTTCCCCACTCCCTCTCCCCGACCTCACTCTACCCTCTCGTGTGTCTCTTCCCTCAGGCTGATGGTGGACCTACCAGACGCGGACAACAGGGAGAAGATCCTTAGGGTGATTCTAAAGGACGAGGAGGTGGAGGAGGGGTTTGACTATAAGGAGCTCGCTGCCATGACCGAGGGGTACTCGGGGAGTGACCTCAAGGTGAGTGTGATTATATGGGGGGGTGGTGCTACTGATACATGCACCGGAGGAGGTTGGTGTTAGCGTGATTTCACACTGTTTTTTTTTCTCGTTTGTGACACCAAGGCCCTCTGAATCTCCTCATTGCAATCGACCTCCCGTTTCCTGCGCTCCTCTCTCTCTCTCTCCTCCCCTCCCCTCCCCTCCCTCATCTGTGCTTGCTCCCTGCCTCCCATCAGAACCTGTGTGTGACGGCGGCATATCAGCCCATGAAGGAGATTCTCAAACAAGAGGAACCCTCCCCTCCCGTGCTCTCCTCTCCCGTCCCCTCCCCTCCACTGCTCTCCTGTCCCCTCCTCTCCCCTCACCTGCGTCCCATCAGAACCTGTGTGTGACGGCGGCGTATCAGCCCATCAAGGAGATTCTCAAACAAGAGGAGGTGGAGAAGGTGAGGGGCAAAGGGAGGGCAGTGGGTCAGAAAGCGAAAAATAATGTCGGCGGTGCTGCTTGCTCTGTTCAGCGAATGGCTCCCATCCTGTTTCTGATTTTGCTTTTGCGGTTTTCATTTCTTTAACGGGCAACAGAGTAAAGGGCATGATGTACTCTGTTATTTTTTTACGATGCGCCTCTCCCGGCATTTTTTCTTGCCAAACCCGTTTCAAGCAGAAGAGGCTGCAGCTGGAGGAAGCTTCCAAGAAGGCGGACAGCTCAACTGCAGCAGCAGCAGGAGAGGTGCAACCACCACCACCCGCTGCTGCAGCAGCTTCTGGTGGGAGCAGTGAGGGAGGTGGGGGGGTTAGTGAAGGAGATGCAGCAGCGGAAGCAGCAACAACAACAACAGGTGAATCTGGCGATTTACCAGGCAAGCCCAGCCAAGAGATTGAGCATGGCTCTGCCGCTCCTGCTGCTGTTGCTGCTGCTCCTGTTTCCTCTCCTACCGCTGCTGCTGCTCCTGCTGCTGATGCCACTTTAGCGCCGGCTGACGCCACTTCAGCATCGGCAGCGGACAAGGAGGGAGGCGAGGTGCAGCAGGGCGAGCTGAAAGATGTGTCGAGACCTTTTGAAGTGGCGGAGGTTTCTATGGTGTCAGGTGGTGGGCAAGCTGCAGAGGGCGGCGATCAGGTGGGCGGCAGTGAGGTGGGCGGCAGTGAGGTGGGCGGCAGTGAGGTGGGCGGCAACCAGGTTCTGTTTATTGAGGGCGATGAGGCAGGTGAGAAGAGCTGCTTGGAGGTTGCTTGTAATGGAGGTGCTACTAGTGAGAGCGTTTGCAAGGGTGGGGCGGATGGTGAACCTAAGAAGGAAGAGGGAACGGATGGAAATGAGAAAAGAGGAGGGAAGGGAGTGGAGGAGGGTGTGAGCGTGAAAGGTTGTGACAATGGCGGTGGTGCTGGGAAAGGGGGAGAGGATGAGCAGGTTGTGGCAGTGAAGGAAGGTGAAGGTGGCCCCTGCGTTGGAGAGGTGATCATAATGAACGGCACTGTACGGAGTTCCGATCTAGTAGACGGTGCTTTGGCGAGTGACCATTCGATGAATGGCGTTTCAGAGAGTGTGAGTGCAGGTGGTGTGACTGAAGAGGACGCAATATGCAGGAAAGATGCCAGGTCAGGCGAGATTGAGAGCAGAGAGACAGAAGAGAACAAGGTGAGAGCGGAGGTGCGAGAGGGAGGTGCGGGGGTGGCAGAGGCAGCAGGAGGGCGGAGCATGGAAGGAGGAGTGGCAGAGCAATTGCGGATAGATGAGAGTCAAGCTAATGGGGGTGAATCTGCTGCAGCTGAGGCTGGGAGCGACAGGGACAGTGGGAGTGAGAGCGCTGCAGGGGATGATAGTGCTGCAATGGCAAAGGACAATACATGTGCAGGGGAGAGTGAAAGTGTAGGAGCTGAAAAGAAAGAGGCTGCAACTGAGGAACCAGAAGGTGAAGAAGCAGGTTCATTAGCCGGTTCACGGGGTAAGGAGGACGGCGGAGGTGAGAAGGGGCAGAGTGAGAAGGTGGAGGGGAGGGAGGGAGAAGCAGAGGAGGCAGCAGAAGAGGCAGCAAAGGAGGCGCTGGTGAGGGGCATCGTGGAGGATATCCTGAGGCGGGGCACTGTTGACAGCACCAACGCCTCTCCTGCTGACCTGTGCGCTGACATGGCAGCTGCACTTGAGATGGTCAAGGAGATCACACGTGAGGATGACACGTCAGCAACAGAAGCCGGGGAAAAGGGAAGCAGTTCGATAAAAAATGGTAGAGAAGGTGCGGGTAAATCAGAAGGTGAAGGAGAGCGGAGAGACGGGGAAGGAGGTCCAGGAGGCAGTGAAAGAGACACTCAGAGCCAAGACCAGCAGCAGTCGCAAGCACCGGATTCCGCGACCTCTCTCCCTCGCCCTCGCAGCGTCTCCCTGCTCCAATTAGCCGAGGACAGCTGGCGCGAGCGCACTGGTGCAGGCCTGTCAGGGCTGGGCAAGGCAGCAGCAGACGGTGCTGCTGGCAGCAGCGGCGGCAGCAGTGGTGGTGGCGGTGGTAACCGCGTGTTACGGCTGCGGCCAATCACGATGGCGGACATGCGGGCGGCGAAGCAGCAGGTGGCGCCGAGCACGGCGGGGGACAGCAGCAGCATGGCGGAGCTAAGGCAGTGGAACGACCTCTATGGGGAGGGCGGCTCGCGCAAGAAAGAAAAACTGTCCTACTTCCTCTGAGGCATTGCAAGAAGGTTTTTCTTGAGTCGACTCATAAGTCACGGTGGGGGATAGCAGCAGCATGGCTGAGCTAAGGAAGTGGAATGACCTCTTTGGGGAGGGCGGCTCACGCAAAAAAGAAAATAATTCCTACTTCCTCTGAGACACCGAGATAAGGAAAGGGTTTTCTACTTCGTCTGGCTGGCTGTATCTTGATTCCTGAGCCGCCCTGGGAAAGGGAAAGATTTGGCTCTACTTCCTGCAGACTCCATCCTGCTATTCTGGTACTTGGATTGGAACCTTATCGCACTTGCATGTTCGATTGGCATCAGGGCCTCAGATTCCAGGAATTTTACCCTGATTTCCTGATGTTTGACCCCGGTTTTTTATTGTAACCCTGATGAATCAGCCTTTTTGTTTTTACAACCCTGATGAATCAGTGTTTTTCTTTTCCTAATCCTGATTTTCCAGTGTTTCTAGTTTGTCGACACTGACGAGTCAGTGTTGTATCGGAGACGACCCTGAAACCGAAAACTCCGTGATTCTCGCAGTTTTGCGCGCCGTCATCATGCATGAACCCACCCTGCACCGACGCCACCCTGCGGCGCGCCCAGATACAGTTGAACGGGTTAATTTCGGGCTGTGTTGGCAAAACGCGTAAAGAGATTGGCTGTCCCAGCTGAAGCAATGTACCGTTGTCACGTTGGATAACCTACACTTGTCATTACTTTCCATTGATGTGCACAAACAACCAAGCCTAGTGGCCCAGTGGGCCAGTGGTCTGCCTTGTTCTTTCCACCAAGGCAGGGCGTGCTGGGGCGGCCCGCTCAGGCACCCCACGCAGGGGGTCTCGTGATTCTGCCATTCCAGCTCTCCAGACTCCATCCTTTTCCGAAACATCAATCTCTGCAGTCTCCCTGAAGCCAGCTCTCCAGACTCCATCACCTCCCGAAACATCAATCTCTGCAATCTCTCTCCCAGGGTTTCTCGTTACTACTCACCGATTCAGGAAGGTGACGTGAACGCGCCATGGCGATCACCGGTGAGAACAGCTGCGGTGATGATGACGACGATGCACTTTACGCCGCCACCGAGATGCTGGAGGCCAGAACGGGACTAGATTTTCTAGTTTCCGCGCTCTCCCATGAAAAAGAGAAGCCAGGTCCCGTCGCCTCAGTAGCAAACACTGGTGAAGCGTCTGGCCTCTGCCGCGGAGACGATCGTCCCCAGCCCGCGCATACTGCTAAGCCGGCCGTGCCGTCAGCAGCCGGACCGAGCGTCCGCTTGCCATCTCGTGCGTCGTCGTCGAAGCCTCCGCCTCGTTACAAGCAGGCCGTGCTCCGTTGGGCCGATCCTACAGATCCTGGACGTCCTCTCGCTGATGCCGGCGAGTCGGTAAACCACGTTACGCCCACGCCATCTAACTCTAAAAAACCGTCACTAACCACTCTGATTTACAAAGAGGCCCTTGAAACGTTCAAGTCGACGTGGTCGACCGACTACCCATGGCTCATCCTCATAAAAAACACTGCTGGCATGCCTGCGTTCAAGTGCAGATTGTGCATCGACTTTGCAGGTGACGGTGGCAAGTGTGGCAAGAGTGGGCACGGTGCAACCGATCTTCAGACCCAAGCCTTCAAGCGGCATGCCGCGACGAACAAGCACCAGTTGGCCATCAATCACCAGAAGCAGATGCTAGCTCAGGCTGGGAAGCAGCCGCGAATTGACGAGCATACGCTCGCCAAAGATGACGAGACGACCCGCGTCATCAGCCTTCTGAACTCCCTTCACTTCACCACCCAGAACCATCTGCCGATGGAGACGTGGGTGCGCCTCGTTCGCTACATGGCTCAGAACGAGGTCCGCGGCTTTCCCAAAAAGGGATACGGCACTTACTACACCACGTAAGTGCTTACGAGCGCATGCATTAAAAGCCTCTCCTGTTCACAACCACGTAAGCCTAACAAATATGTTCGGTGTCTATGCAGGTACGGCTTTGGGGAACTAACACAGGCAACGGCCGTGTGGCTGCAGACAACACAACTCGAACACGTCCTACAAAGCCACTACATCGGCCTCAGCTGTGACGAGTCTACGGACAGATGCCGTGGGAAGCATCTCATCATCTATGCCACATTCATCCGCGACGGGGCAGTAGTCACCGAGTTCTTTGCCCTCCTAACCGTGGACAGGGCAGACGCCGCATCGCTGGTGGCGTTGCTCTTATCCCATGTCAATGCCGTCGGCATTGACCTGCGCCGAATCACGGGCATCAGCACCGACGGGGCGAGCGTCATGGTCGGATCCAAAAACGGGCTGGTGGCGAGGCTGAGGACGCGCGTTCCACATCTGGTGTCCTGCCACTGCATCGCTCACAGGTACGGTGGTTGATGCAGTGTCCGATGCGACTGGTATTTGTTATTTGAACATGGTGTCCTTCCTTCTACTTAACCAAATGCGACTGTTTTTTGTTTTAATCGCAGGGAAGCACTCGCGGCCAAGGACGCGGCAGAGTCCCTACCGGAGTTTGGCATGGTCGACAGCTTCATCCGCTGGCTCTCCACCTACCTCGGCTCATCAGGACCCTGGCACCAGCGCTTCCTGGACCTTCAGGAAGTCTTCACTCAGACTAACCTGGAGCTCCAAGGAATCAATGATGTGCGTTGGCTCTCACGCGGCGATGCAGTCTGCCGAATTCTTGCAGTCCTTCCGGGGGTCGTCGTGATGGTGCACGAGCTGGGAAACAAGCCCATGTACCAGATGGTGACCAGCTACAGATTCCAGTTCATGCTGCGCTTCCTCGCTGACGTGCTGGAACAGCTGAACGTGCTCAGCAAGACGTTCCAGCATCGACAGGTGAGATCCTGCTTTTGCCTGTGCATCCCTGTGTGCCGTGAGGACTGTGGGTTTAGGGCCGCTAGCTACGGCTAGTTCTGCTTCATGATTGAAACCTGGCTGTGCTTTCCCTACTGTTTTTGTGTGGCAGATTGACCTGCTGGCGATTCAAGGCCAGATCCGTCGCACGACAACCCACATCAACAGCCGTTATGTGGATTGTGGCGACGACTTCGGCGGCGGCCTGAGCGAGAAGTTGTCGCCCTTCATTGCACGACATGGACCGAATGGGGTGCGGAGAGTGGAGGTCGAGTGGGTTGACTCCGACGGCCGGCCCACTTCTCACTGCTACGTGCTGCATGATTCCCCCCTTGAAGGCTACCCCATTGCAGGGACCCATGAGCGATGCGTGGAGCATTGCACGGCGATGGCGGAGGCGCTCGTGCATAACCTGGATGAGCGATTGGGTTCACTCGACAAGCTGAGCGGTGTGAAGCTGTTCATGCCCGACGAGTGGCCCCATGGACGGCAGGAGCGTTCCATGGTCTGCACGGAGCACCTTGAGTCCCTCACGACGCTCTTCAGGGCCCAAGAGTGCGACGAGATCGTTCCAGGTACGTACTTCTCTTTGGTCTGTGCATCGTTGTTTGTGCTGCTTTGTTGTGTAGCACCTAAACACTGGCACCACTTGTCTGGTGAGCCTTGCTTACCTTGTTCTTTTCCTTGTGCTTGCGCACTCCCTGACTCCCTCCAGGTGTCAACAAGAAGAAGGCGTTCAAGGAGCTCCGCACGTTCTGCACGGTTCTCGCTGGAGCCCCGAAGTCCGAGAGAAAGTTCTACCCGGGTCTCTCGGCGATGCTGAAGTCTCCTGACTGGGAGGACGCGTACCCCAACCTGGTGAAGCTGTGGATGGCTGTCGCTGTGCTACCGTTGAGCACAGTCGAGTGCGAGCGGGGGTTCTCGCGTCAAAACATCATCAAGAGCTGGCTGAGGGGTGCCATCAAGGATGCGCGGCTGTCGGACCTCATGTGCATGGCATTGCTGCCGTACGAGCCCGACTGGGCGGAGGTGGTGAAGATCTGGAGGGCGTACAAGAAGCGCAAGCCCATCACAACAGTGGCAGCACCAAAGAAGCAACCTAGTGCTAAGGGGAAAGAGAAGGTGGACGAGGATGATGCTGGTGGTGCTGGCTCTGGGTGGGGGACAGAGACCCCCGTGCACAGGCACGGTTCTATGAGCGATGGTGGTGGTAGTGACGAAGATGAAGACATGTGTGTGATGTGAATTGTGTGTGCGGTGTGAGCGCCAAGTGGTCTGTGCCTGTAGTTAGATTAGAAGCTCATTAGAACCATATTTGAACTTTTCTTAACTTATTATACTTGTGATAGTTGTTGTGGATTCTCACCGCCAGTGCTTTTTTTTAACTCACGCTGATGTGTCAGGGTTTTTTTTTTTTCTAACCCTGAGAAATCAGTGTTTCTCCATTTACAACCCTGATGATCAGTGTTACAGCCCCAAAGGACCCTGAGTGCTCAGGGTCACCCAAAACGAATCTGAGGCCCTGATTGGCATGCTGCATGCTGCATGCTGAAAATGCGAAGCAACCCAGCTCAACCGTCTAGTCCAGCTAGCTGGAGTTAGGTGATCAGTCAACAGGTTGTTGGAATAGTTTGAGTTGCGATATATTTTTACTTTCCAGAGATTCAGCTCAACAGGTGGCAATGTTGTGTTGTGGCTTGCAGCATGCTGCCGAAGCAGGTAGGAACACGGTAGCTGTATCATATGCAGTATTTGATGTGGCCAGTAGAGCGTCATCATGACTCATTTGTCCCACCAACAGATAGCCACACTTGTAAGGACGAATTTCAAAACATTTTCCCTAAACATGCTTAGCACCACAGGGATGATACCGTATGATACAAGTCCCAAACGAAGTACCTATACAAGCCTACACCTAATGAATTACCGTAATCAATGCTGCCAGCCACACCAGTAGCATTAACTTGCACCCGATGCTCTCGGACCACCACTCCCATTGCCACATGTCATTCTTCACAGCCGCCAGGGAGGCCTCATTGCACCCAACCTTGCCCTCACATTGCCCATTTTCTCCTCAGGTTTTACGCTGCCAACTCTCTCCTGCCACCTCATATCTTTTTCAAGGCACACAGACACAACCAGAACGTTCCTCCCCTTCCCAGCAACAGTCTTCACAGCAAGAGCTCCTGCACGGCTTAACTTGGAACCGACTGCTGCTTTTCTCGAGGCTGAATTCTTGCCTGCAAGCAACATTGCTGTGCCTGCTCGCAGAAGAGCCGCGCCTGCGAGAAACCGAGCTACACCTGCAAGCCACAGAGCTGTGCCTCCGAACAGCAAAGCTATGCCTGCAAGCAGCAGAGCTATGCCTGTAAGCAGCAGAGCTGTGCCTGAGAGCAACAGAGCTGTGCCTGCAGCGGGACCCACAGCAGCATCCATGTCAGCATCCACTGCAGCATCCATGTCAGCATCCACTGCAGCATCCATGTCAGCATCCACTGCAGCATCCATGTCAGCATCCACTGCAGCATCCATGTCAGCATCCACTGCAGCATCCATGTCAGCGTCCTCTGCAACAACCATGCCAGCGACCTCTGCAACAACCATGCCAGCGTCTTTTGCAGCAATCATACCAGAGTCCTCTGCAGCACCCATACCAGCGTCCTCTGCAGCACCCATACCGGAATCCTCTGCAGCACCCGTGCCAGGATCCACTGCAACACCCACGTCAGCAGCCACTGCTGTAGACACCATTGCTGCCGTTCCTGAGCAACCATTTCCGCCCTTCTTCAAGTTACTGTAAACGCCACTGACCACGTCTCTCGTAACATTAGCCCAAGCAAAGGCATAGGTGAAACGGCTGCAGTCAATGTATTATCCAGTGCTGTAGAGTCTGTGATAAACAACGCTCTCCTTGCTCGCACTGCTGCTGAAGCTGCTGCTGGAGCTGCTCTCCGTCTGTGAAGCATTCTTAGAAGAGTCACCTGCAACGTTAGAAGAAACCACTGCAGCCTCAACGAGGCCCTCAGTGGGACCGGAATGAACCACTGAGGCTTCGGAGGAGCACCCTGCAGCATCATCTGACGATTCTGCTTCGGATGACTCCTCTACAGCATTGGATGATTCCTCTGCAGCATAATAGGAGTACCATTCGGCCTCAGTCCACACCTCCTCCTCCCCTGCAGCCACATAGGGAGGAGGTCAATGAAGGTTGACCCTGCATCTGTATAAGCGCAATTCTGTTTCTGAACAAACTGAGGGCTTCATAGAATGTCGGGTAGTAGTCAGCATCAGCCATGATAAGCTAGGACAAAAAGCGAAGGTTTCGAAATATGAGCTGAGGTAGACGAGGATAGTTCAAGAGCGGGGGACACACAATAGATTTCCAGAGAGTAACTATGAATATGACTTGGAGTGATGTGGAGAATTTCTAGGCGTGCAAAGCCAAGCACCACAAGAGAGAGGGAGGACGGATGTTTGGAAGAGCAGCAGAGGGGACAGGTTTGGATGTTGAAGCTCTTGTCCGCCTCCGCAATTTTCTCAGCTTGGGGTTGGCATGTTGCCCGGGTCGAAATATTCTACAAGGGCAGCAAACGAAACGAATGGATTGGCTGCTCGACTCTCACGTAGGATCCGAAAAGGGCTGCGGCGTGAAAACTTTTGGTTCCGCTGCCCTCAGGTCGGAATTTCTGCTTCGGAAGGCATACCGAGCCTCCACGCGAGAGATCAGGCGGCTCGTTGCCAGAAATCAGAGCAGTGGGTAGAACAACCAATGGGCCTGGCAAGAAAGCGAAGGCGGGAAACACACGCTGCATATTGATAACTTTCACCTGCCCGCTCAAGAACGAAACTAAGTTCCGACAATTTCGTGGAGCAGCAGCAGCCAAATGGTACATGAAATTCAGCGGGAAGTGGCAATGCCTAGCAGACTAGCGACAGCGGGAATCACGCGCGGCTAAGGGTAAATTTTCGGGTTTATGTTCGAAAATGAAACAACAGCACTTCTCTAGGCTCCGACGATTCCGTGGAACGGCCGCACACAGAGGCTTGGTGATAATCCAATGGTAATCCCTAACCAGAGACTATCGAGGAGACATGGCAGAGTTGAAACTTGGAACAAGCTTTTCAAACATGAGATCCGAGCAGGTTGGGAGGTTCGAATCTGAACTCGTTACAGAGGTTTCCGTACTTTCACTACACGCTTCGTTGTTGCGCAAAGCCTTACATGGGATTCAAGCACTAGCGATTCTCTTTCGGGTTCCCATTATAAGGGTGCGTCACCATTTTGCCGGTTTCGTTACAGCCCGCGTCCTAAATTGCGGACCGCAAGGGTCAAGTTTTTAAAACTTGACGAAGTTGAGTGTCCAAGCTTTTGAAAGTCACGCACGCACCTGCAATTTGAGAACCGAGGGTTGGCTGGGTCTCGCGAAAAAAACGAACTTAGACGAAACTGCGAACTCTTGCCAAAGCCTACACCAGAAAACTCCCTCTGGTCAACTTTAAAAAGCATGAACAATTTGGACCGCCAGCTTTAAAACCAGGGTGCACATTCAACGCGGTTCGGCTTGAGATGTTGGGAAGGGGGTTTGGAGAAAAACAGTGATTGGCTCACGAGGGGCGACAAAAAAATGATTCCGCTAGAGCTTCGGGCATTTCGTAGGTGGCGGGAGGGGGTGAAATGGCGGGAGTGGGTGAAACCGAATGGCGGGAGGGATGAAACAGATTGGCGGGAGGGGGGGGAAACGAAATTGCGGGGGAGGGGGGAAACAAAATTGCGGGGGAGGGGGGAAACGAATTTCGACGGGGAGGGGGAAATGAAATTGCGGGGGCGTGGGGAAACGAAATTGCGGGGGAGGGGGGAAACGAATTTCGACTTGAAGGGGTTGAAAGCACACCTCGTAACCCACATCAAAGGGATAACCTTTGATGCACATTCAGCTGAATGTGCACCCCGGTTTTAATGTCTAAACAAACCGTTCTTGCGAATCTGTGTTACACCACATCAGCAACTCCCAGGGATTCCCAGATGCTGACTTCACGCGTCAACTCGGAAGTCGTTTCTTGTCGCACATGTCTTCATCGTAATCCCTTCAGCTCACTTACAGTTTCGTATAACTTAGCGCGATCGGCGGCCCATCTTGCGCCATACTGCCTCGAACAGCGCATGCATTCGCGTTTTAGGTTTCGTCTGCGTTGTGCTCCGCAGAACTCTTTCTGTCACTAATAATCTCCGCTGGGCTCGAACTAACATGCACCGCTAGTCGTACCGCTATTCTCTGCAGATTCTCGCGTTCGTGATTCACGTCGCCGGTAGTATAACCATCTAGTGTGCCAGCATCACTCCGTGCTCATTTCGCAAAAAGGGGTAATAACTTGCATGTTGCTCTGGACGCGCTACAACTTGCATCTTTCCTTCCTAGCCTATTCGTCCCTCCATGGCAAGCCTTGGGTCTGCGGTTACCGGTAGGAAGCGCACACGGCGCCACGATAACGTGGCTGACCGCATTGCTCGCGCCCTGGAGACTATAGCCGCAAACGCGGGCAAGCCTATCACCATAAATATAACATGTACGTATACTACTGCAAGTTTCTAGGAGGAGGAAGACTGTATTTGCCGCGAAGGTTTGCTTGTTCTCCACCATTTTCCACGTTCGCATGCCTCGCTTGTCCCCTGTCGTTTGCCGCACTCCATCGGACTGTATCGGTCCGCATCCACACGTCACGTTTCTTTCAGCCAACTCAATTTTCTGACGAAAGCTAGGCGCATCAAAGTCAAAGCTCGTCTCATTTCACGCCTTATGTTTGTTGCAGATGAGCAAACCAAAATTCTGATGGAGGCTGGCCACGCGCTTGCGGCAATGTCAAATGTGACCGTTAACCAACAGCTTGCAACCTACGAGGAGTTCGCACGTTACCCCTACATGGCAACGATGTTCCTCACAATGACTCCTTCCCTCCGCACCGCTTACGTGCGTGGTAACGTCCGTGGCGGTGGCCGTGCATTACCCGCTCGGGGAGTTGCATCACTTCCAGCGGGAGGTGCATTAGCCGCAGGGGAGGATGGGACAGCCACAGAGGGTGGTGCATCCGCCGCTGGTGAACGTTCAGCCGCAAGGGAGAGTGAATCACCCACAGGGGAGGGTGTATCAGCTACAGGGGGAGGTGCATTAGCCGCAGGGGAGGGTGAAACATTTAGAGGGGATGGTGAATCATTTACAGGGGATGGTGAATCATTTACAGGGGAGGGTGAATCATCTACAGGGGAGGGTGAATCATCTACAGGGGAGGGTGAATCATCTACAGGGGAGGGTGAATTAGCTGCAGTGAGAGGTGAATCAGGTGGGGAAGGAGGGGCATCAGCCGCAGGGGGCGTTGGGCAAACACTCTAGGGTGGGTGAGCGTTGTCTTATTGTTCACCCTTCCAGTTTCCTCCCCATCCCCTTTCCTCCTTGCTGACCTTCCTGGTGAAACCTACAACTTCCCCACCCTCTCGACCTCCATCCCCCTCCCTTCCAAACACGTGTCAATCGTTCAACTGTGCGGAATGTAAGCGCGCAACAAACATGCGCCTGCCGTTCCACTGCCTGCCATACACGCGCCTGCCCGTTGCCCTACTTCTGCTCCATCACTCTCCTTTCCCTCCAATCCCCCTCCCCGTCGCCGTCGCTTCCCTCTCGTCCCCAATGCCCTTTCCTCTTTCCCCATCGCCTCCTTGTCGTCCTCTCCTCTGCTGCCCATCGCCCACGCCTCCCCTCACATGACACATACCTCCATACACTCTACCACATGCATATCTGCTATTCACTCCCTCTGCCTTACTCTCCCTCTCTCTTGTCAATTCTGTTACGAATAGTCATACTTGAATATTACTGTACACTCCTCACCGCAGCAAAGAGAAGCACGCAGTATCGCGAATGAACGCGAAGCGTCAGACGGTTGGAATCGACTCGAAGCGTCAGACAGTTGGGACGCATCTGGACCGTCGGAGCAGACAGCATCAGGCAGCTGCAGGCAGGATGGTTTCGGCGGAAACAGTTTCGTAACTGTTCGCACCGCACGGTTGGGAATGTATTTGAATAAGGGAATGTACCCCTTAGAGTACATGGCTAGCTAGGTCGTTTCATCTCCCCTGTACTCATATTTATATTTGCTGTATTTGCATATTTTAATTCATCTCAAAGCATTTTACATTCACTCTGCTATTGAGGTCAAGGGCCCACCAACATCACTTCTCTGCGTGCGAACCTTCCTGAGTAGATCCTAGGCCACGATCAACTTCTGATCGCAGCAAATTCTTTTCCACTTCTTTCCAATGTACTGATCTCCTACGTACCCACTACAGATTTCTCCTTTCGACCCTCTCTACCTCTCTCCTTCCTTTTTTCTCTTCCTCTCTCCTCCCATTTGCCTTACCTCTTGCCCCCGACTTCCCACCTCATCCCTTTACTTACCTTCCTCCAGCCACCAACTTACTCCACTGCATCCGTCCACCTCCTGACTGACCCCACACGTTTACCCCACTGAAACAACTCCTGTGTCCCACTTTCCATCCTCCCTTTCTCTTCATAACTCTCCCACTCCCTCTCCCACCCTCCCTGTTCCCCTACCCGCCCTGTTCCCCCACCCTCCCTGATCTCCCACCCTCCCTGTTCTCCCACCCTCCCGGATCTCCCACCCTCATTGCCGAAAGATATGATTTCTTAATCACGGATCTAGGTGGCCCACCCTCCCTGTTCCCCCACCCTCCCTTTTCCCGCACCCTCCCTGTTCTCCCAAATTGGACTCTCCTACTACACGTCACGACTCACGCACTTCTCTAGCACACGGGTCAAAGCTTTGTGCTAGTGCAAGGGTGTTGTAGGGGCAAAAGGTGCAGGCGTGGGACAGGATGTGGAAAGGAGGGGAAGGAGGCAGTAAGGCAGGGTAGTTCGACAACTGTAGAGTGGAGGGAGGGGAAAGGGGATATGTAGACGGACGGATTCTCAAGAGCTTGTAGGGTCGGGTCAGGAGCACTATGGTATGTTTAGGTCAAACTACACATGAATGAATGTTGACCTCTGTAAATAGGTTGGGTGAAAGTGTTGATGTGCATTATGTGTCAGAATCCACACTCAGCAGCAGCTCTTGTTTTGTTGGCCATTTAGCATGTGTCTTGTCAGTTTTGTAATACTGGAAGGAACGGGTGGTTACCTAACCTGATTTTCTTGATAGCGAGGAAAAACATATGGTGTATGTGCATTTTGAGGACTGAACTCACCCCATCCGAGGATCTTCCAAATTTTGGACGAAAGTGGCGAGATGTCGCCCCACCAGAGATTCTTGGAAACATCTGTCGCGCAGTTTCACGATGGACTGTTATCACCGCAGCTAGGCATCTTGGTTCTGTGCCCAGCCCGACCAATTGACAGGCCTGGTCATCACCGCACATGTGTTAGGGCGCGTAACTTTTTTCCATTTTCGTCAAATGTCCGGACGGAGCCTCCAAACTGGCCGGACGGAGCTCCGTCCGGACGTTTGGGAAGCAGGTCCGGACGATAGGGCGTCTGGACCACAATTGTGCAACTTTTTCCCCTATCGAAAATGTAGAATCTCGCCACGAAAAATAACACGCATTACAGAAATCGTATAGCACTTGGAGATTTCGCCACCAAAATTTGACGGCATCCTATTGGTTGGAAAATCATTCAATTCGTGGCCGAATCACAGCGCAGATAAAACGGACCGTCCGAAATGCCGTTCGGACGGAGTCAGCAGGTTAGTCCGGACCACTTTCTGGCAGAAAAGTGTCAGATAGTGTCCGGACGGTAGCGACGTCGCAGGGGGTCTTGCGAACGTCTAAACAGACTGTTACGAAATTAGTTACCCTACAGAAGTCCGGACGGGGCCTCCGTCCGGACGATGAAAGGTGAAAAAGTTACGCGCCCTTACTCCATCGCACGAACAGCTCGTGGTGAGGGCGTAACGCGGAATTTGATCATCGTCAAATTGACGCGCCGTGCTTTGGGAGACACCCTATTGGTTGGCGCGAGTCGGTGGGAGCAGGGGGACCGACAACGGAGCTGATGAACCAGCCACCGTGTTTTCGGCAACAGCGGCATCCATTGGTGATGGTCGCGTCGCGTCGCGGGGCGTTCTCTCCCGCCCACGGTCACTTCAGCGGCTGTGGGGGGGAATTGTCGTTCACAATCACAACTCCTTCCCTGCCTGCCTTCCCTGTCTGGCGACCAAGGACTAAGCAACTGGCCTGTAGCGCATAACTCACGAAATGTAAAACAGCTCGCTAGTCCCATCATTATCGTCCTGTTACGACTTTCGCCAACAGCACAAGCTTCTAGACCTTCGTTTCAAAGCAAACAGTAGCTTCGGCGTGGTGCGGAACGCCTCGGTACGCCCCGGCGCACCGGATTTCGAAGCTTCCACCGTTCAAAAACGATTAGTACCAAGAATCACCACGGTTCTTACCTTGCCCACAAATTCGCGCTGTACTACTCAACCAGCATGCTTCTGATGGCTGCCCAGGCGCCCTTCCTTCCTCTCCTGACGTGACCTTGATTGCCTTTGTCCTTCCTTCGTCCCGCGCGCCGAGCGGTACCGACGGCTAGTGATCAAGCTATTTGGCGGCGTGCTGTTTGCTACTAGTCAATCACAGCACCAGTGGGAGTGGGAGGATGGACGGATCAACTTATAAGTCTCGTTAACTCACAGCAATTTGTGACTAGAGCTAGAACCGTGGATTTCTTTCAACAAGATCAACAGCCTTAACGCGCTAACCTTTAGGCAGGAAACAAAAGACGTCGGAAGATTATCAGACGATTACGGCTGATATTTAAATACTTCAATTCCTTGTTAGGGAACCTTTCGCATAGAACGTAGCCAGTGAGAATCGTAGTTAAGAAATCGTTAAGCCATGGATCCCGTGAGACTATTCTCCGATACCTTCGGTGTAGACTATTCCGCCGCAGCGTACCTCGTCGGCGCGCTTTCGTCCATCCCCGTCGCGTACCTTCACCGGTTTATCGGCCCTCCCGCGCTCCGCCATGTATACGCCGCAGTTTCCGGGGTGCTTCTATCGTTAATCTCCTTCACTCCCGACGTGCTGCTGCATTTCATCCTCGCAGCGGCCTTCACACTCGTCGTCATGCGAACGCAGCGAAGCATCTGCGGACTGGTTACCTTCATTGGTACATTCGCACATCTCATCGCATGGTACGTGGATTCCATCGAGTTGGTATCAAGGGCAGGTCGCATCTGAGGCAGGTCGCATCAGGGGCAGGTCGCATCTATTCGCGCAGTAGTTCGCTTGAATACGATAAGGTAAATCGTTTGAAGCTGTAGCCATAGATTACCTTTTGAGCTGGCCCGAGAATTGCGCCGCAGGTTGCGCTCTCAGCCGCGCTTGTTTTCCGTCACTTTGAACGACGGAGTCGTCGTAATGCGCGAGTGCCATCGGTGCTCCTGCGTTCTTAACTTTCTCTTACTATTGTTTCTTGAGCACGCCAGAGTTTTCCTTTTCCTGTGCGCTTTGCACATCGTCTCCTCTTCACCCCTCTTCCCCCCTCCTTCTCCCTCTTCCCCAAACCCCTTCTTCCTCCTCTCCCCGCAAACTCCCGCCCTCTGCATCTCGCGCACCCCGCAACTTGCTTCCTCTGCTTCTCGCCATTCACCTGCCTCCCCTCCTCGTCGCCTAATCCCGCGCAGCCACGTCATCTTCATGAGCGACGACGCGCGGAGAACGGGCCGCGTGGACTTCACGGGGACTCTAACGATCGTGGCGATTAAGCTGACGTCACTCGCCATGGACTACCAGGACGGCCGTAAAGCCCTAAAGGACGACGCGAAGCGCGCGAAAGACGGCGAGAAACCCGAGAGCGAGCAGCCGTCGCGCGATGATCGGAGAAAGGCGGAGAAGCGGGCGAGAGTGATTAGAAAAATGCCGTCGCTGGTGGAGTTTCTGGGGTATCTTTTCTGCTGCGGGCAGCATCTGCTTGGGCCGTGGTTCGACTATCAATCCTACGACGACTGGACGCACCGCCGCGGGGTGAGTGCGTGGAAAGGAACCCTAGTGTTACTTGGAGTGGGTAGGGACAAACCGGAAACCTGGAAAGTTGTGGTGTGAGGTAAGCAATGAGTGCGCAAGCAACGGGGACCAAGAAACCCTAGTGGGGTTTGTTAAATCCTATGTGTTGATTGGGCTCACTGATGTGATGAGTGGTTAGTGCACTATCAAACAAGGTAAGAGTTGCTGCACCATCAAATAAGGTAGAGCATGAACCCTTATTCCGAGGTTCAAGACTGGGAGGTAATTAACGGGTTGGGCTTGGCCGTGATTTAGTTCTACATTCCATAAGCGGGATGATGGCTCAGCATGGTGGCATTGGCTTACCAACGAGGGTTTCGGGTCTAGGGTTTGGAGTGAGGCTAATTTCTTCATCCCAAGTGGTCATTTGTATTAATGCCACAGCAGGTACATATAGATGGGGCAGCAACAGCAAAAGAAATAGAAATGACAAGGATGCAATTCCTTTCCCCCTTCACCCTTCCCCATCCCTCATTCCCCTATCTCCCATTTCCCCCCCTGTCCTTCCTGCAGGTGTGGTCCCCGTCGGTGCGCTCCCCCTCGCCCATCCCGCCCTTCCTCCGCGTGCTCGTCCAAGGCTTATTGGCAGCAGCCGTCTTCCTCCTCATCTTCCCGCACCTCGACCTCTCCCTCGCCACCGACCCGGCGCGCTTCTTCGCGCTGCCCTTCCTGCGGCGCCTGCTGCTGGTGTTCCACGCCACGCTCGTCACGCGCTGGCGCTGCTACATCGTCTGGTCCATTGCGGAAGCTGCCATGGTTGCTGGCGGCCTGGGCTTCTCTGGTTGGGTTGCTAAACCTAGTGCTGCTGCTGGTGGTGGTGCTGCTGCTGCTGCCGCTACTGCTGCTGGTGGTCCTGTTGTTGCCCCTAGTGCTGCTGGTGGTGGTGCTGCTGATACGACTGCTGCTGCTGCTGCTGCTGCTGCTGCTGCCTCTGCTGCTAACTCAGCTGCTGCAGGGGAGGGGGCAGCAGACGAGCACGACGGGAAGGAAAACCATGCGGAGAGGAATGGTGTCAGCACAGGACAGGCAGCCGCGGCAGCAGGAGCAGATGGTGGGCGGGTGATGATGGGAGAGCTGGTGAACAAGCAGGGGGGCAGCACAGCGGGAGTGAAGGGCTCTGCAGTAAGTGGCGAGAAGAAGAGATCACGCGCTGCCACCCCTGCTGCTCCTGCTGCTCCCACTCCTGTTACTGCGTCTGCTGCTGCAACCGCCACTGCTTCTCCTGCTGCTGCTCCCACTACTGCTGCCGCCACTCGCACTGATGCTGATGACGCCCCTGCGTGTTCACGTGCGGAACGGCAGGTGGCGGCGTCAGGTGCCGAGCGACAGGTGGCATCGTGGGATAGGGCGCGCAACGTGAATATCCTCGGCATGGAGCTCGCGAGCACGGGCGCTGACGTGGCAAAGAACTGGAACATCTCCTTCAGCACGTGGCTGCGCATCTGTAAGCATCGGCGCCGTTGCTGCTGCCTGCAAGCATATAGGGTCCACAGGTTGCCATCCTCGTTAGTGCCATCCTCGTTAGTGTCATCCTCGTTAGTGCCATCCTCGTTCTTACCATCCTCGTCTGTGCTATCCAACATCACAATGCTGCACATCACAACGTGACCCCCCATTGTCCCTCGCATTCAACTATCACCTCACGTTACGATTCTGCTCACTCCTTTGCTATCCCTCATTTGTCCGTACTGCTTCCTCTCCCCCGTGGCGCTTCCCCACACAGACGTGTATGAACGGCTGGAGTCAATGCCAAGGAAGAGTGCACTATTCAACCTGCTCTTCACCTTCTTCATCAGCGCCATTTCGCATGTGAGTGCCCTCTCTCTTAACGTTTCATGTCATGTGGTTGATTTCTGAGCCTCCTCAGAAGAGTGCGCTATTCAACCTGCTCTTCACATTCTTCATCAGCGCCATCTCGCATGTGAGTGCCCTCTCGGTTCACACTTGTGTCACGTGGCTGCTGCTCTCATTGCCCTTATTTCCACCACTCCCTGATCTGAACCCATAAGGTTTGACCTACTGCCATTCAACTCTTGTTCTTCCCTCCACGAGCCTGAGCTTTTGGCACTCATCTCTCCCTCGCCTCCCCCATTTCCTCTCCTCGCAGGGTCTGAACCTAGGGGATCTGATCGGGTTCGCCCACTGGGCGCTCATGATAGCGGGGTCGCGCGTCATCTACCGCTGGCCGTTCCCTCTAAGCCAAAGCTCATTGGTCCGATATTCTCTAACAACTCCCTCCCTCCCTCTCCTCCCTCCCATTCCCTCCTCCTCCCTCAGGGTTTGAACCCAGGGGATCTGATAGGCTTCGCCCACTGGGCGCTCATGATAGCGGGGTCGCGAGTCATCTACCGCTGGTCGCGGCCTCTAGCCCAGGGCTCGCTGCCTCGCCACGCTGCCTCGCTGCTGCACTTCCTCTACGTGCTGCTCTGCATCAACTACGCTGGCTTTGGCTTCAGTGTGAGTGCTTGTGCATCTTGAAGTGCGTGATTGGATCTATGTTGCCTCGCTCGCTGCTGCGCTTCCTCTACGTGCTGCTCTGCGTAAAATATGCTGGAATCGGGATCAGTGTGAGTGCTTGAGGCAATTTGAGGTGGTTTTTGAGATGCATAGAAATATCGTTCGTGCCACGTGCTGCTCTGCATCAACTACGCTGGCTTTGGCTTCAATCAGTGTGAGCATTTGTTGTGTGCCTTAGAACGCACGTGTGATGAGTCGATTTGAGTCGACTCAAAAATCGATTCAGTGTAAGCATGTGTGCCTTAGAACGCGGAGTAGTTGAGCGAGTGCGTCTGCGTTGGGTTTGTTGTCGTGGGTGTCAGTCAGACTGCACGTGCTGCAGTGGAGCACCGCATGTGTGTTTGCCTGCATGTGCCGAGCTACTTCCCTTCTCACAACACCCGCCCCTCCACACCCCCCTTCCCCTCCTTGGTTTCTCTTTCCGCCACTCGCATTCCTGTGCACGTCTTTCATTATTTACAATCTCCTTTCCCTCTCGTGGTGCTCCTTCGTGCAGGTGATGACGTTCCAGCACACGGTGCAGGCATACAGGGGGCTCTATTACTACGGCACATTAGTGCCTGTGATGCTCATCGTGGCAGGCAACTTCATCCGAACGCCAAGGCCCAGGGGGGCCAAGAAAAGCCTCAAGACAGAGTAGCCAGGAGGACCCACTTTTTGAGTCAATTTAGCGTAAGCATGTTCTCCATTTGGTGGTTCTTACGGTAGTTTTGTGTATATACTAGAATATTTAATATCGCTCGCATTTGATTGATAGCAAAAAGGATGACATTTGGAAGGAAAGGGATAGCTCGCAGCAACAACACTTACAGCTACCTAGCAAATACTCCTAGCATCTCAACGGATCACACTACCAGCCTTATCCCATCCACCTCCACAGGGCCGGCCTATTATTCTCTGCCTTGCACACGGCCATGCCACGGTGGCTGCACGTGCGCCGCATCAACTCGTTACAGGGCGTCCCATTATTAGCAGAATACTGTTGCACCTATACACCCTCTCGCGACGTTTCTCCTTTAGAAGTTGGTGCCGCTCTCGTAGGTCGTCCCGGCACTCCATCCGCTCGGAATCACGTCTTGCAACACCACCTGCTGCCCGCCGCCCGTCACGCGCACGCTCACGGGGCGCCCCGCATCGACGACGTCCTTGGCGGGATTGAGCACCCACGTGGCGCCCCATCCGTACGTCGTCATGCTCGACCACTGCGACCCGTCATTCGACAGCTCCACGTTCTCCACGCCTCCGCTCCCCGCCGCTCCAAGAATCTGAAGCGCGAAGTTGTACGAGTTGCTATCGTCGACTAATCTGACCTTCATTCCGCCGTTGCTAGGGCAGTCCACGCTGCGGTAGTCGATCTCCACGCGCCCCGCGGCCCGGTCAGCGACGATTCTATCCCACGCGGCGAAGTTGAGGTTGAAGTCGCCGTTTTGGCCGACCGCGCGCACCAGCACGCTGCCCTCCAAGCAGCTCGGGTGGTTCATGCAGGAGACTTCGTAGCACCTTCCGCAGCCCTTTCCGCTGTTGAAATCGCCCGAAGGAACCTGCGCTACCATGCCGTAGTCGAAATCCGAACTCTCGCCGTAGTCGAATTGGCCGCGGTAGCACGTGCCCTCGCGGTTCAGATCAGCGGACGTGGCGTACATGGCATCGGCCGGAGTGAGGGAGAGAGCAAGCAGAACGATTCCTACGCACAGTAAGAAGCCGACCTTGAAAAGGCGAGCCATTGGAGAAAGGGAGCAGGGAGTGGCTTAGAGACTGCGGGAGCTTTCTGCTGACTAGGAACAGCCCAAGTCTGAAAACTAAAACTAACCAAGCGTGCTTGAGTATCAGACACACTGAACGCTTGGATGGCAGTGATAGATTTGGATGATGATGGTGAATTAGCAGGAGACTAATTTAGTTTCGTGACTCTCAGATGTTCAATGCAGAGTGCGGCTCGAGTCGGTTCGATAAATTTTCTGGTAATTGGGGCTCCGCTTCCAAAACAATAATTTTGGTCTCTTCACAAAGTGACTGCTAGGCGACAGCCACGAAAACGTTGTAACACTCATCGTGAGTCAAAAGTTTGGAAGGCGATTGGCTCGATAATAACTGTTGGGAGCCGCTTCATTCGGTGATTTGCTGGTAATAATTTCGATGGAAGCGGCTTCCTGATGCTACCCCGCGGCGAGAGGCTCAACGATTATTGTCGCCCCGCAACGCTAGTATCTGTTGGGCCTTGGTACGGCTGGTAACTCAGCTATTTGACGAACCCTCAAAGTCAGCTTTCGCAGGTGGTAACACAACATGTGATTTGACTTGGCTGGCATTCGTATGTGTGCTCACTCGCACAATTTGCAGTTGGACGAGCACACAAATGCAGCGAGAACATATTACGAGGCGCGTTTTGAACCCAACTGAGTGTTGTATTGTTGTATACTCATTCTAGGTGTTGTATTGTTTCTCGCTGTTACGCGTGCAATTGAGTGAACGAACGAGAATTGCACTATCGAAGCAAGAGTACAATGAGCGAAGGCATGAGCGAAGAATATATAGCGAAACTACAGTGGTAATGGTAATGGACTGTGGTTGTCGCGCGACGGGCCTGGGACTGAGGTTGGGAAAAAGTGTCGAAGCGGAGGCCCGGAGCGCGGGTTACCCGCCGAGCCGTGAGGTCGGGGTGCGATGTGCGAAGGTGGCGGGCAGATTGTCGATGCGAGGGTTGCGAGTGGTAACGGTGCTGACTGTGGTGCTACAGTGATGTACGCGTTGAGCAGGGATGCGAAGTAAGGAAAAGGAATTTTCCTTACACTACCCCCCACCTTAAGGAGGTCCTCCTTACGAGAGTGCGTGTACATCCCTGAAATTTCGGCTGCGCAGATACTCGGTGAGGACGGGGTGGTTTTCGATTCTGTCCAGGGGAACCCAATTGTCTTCGGTGGGTGTACGGTCCTTCCAGCGGAGTAAGAACTCGATCCTTCGGGCTCCTCGAGGGTCGCGAACTCTGTGACTCAGGATTTTTTCGGGGGTGATGATTGGTTCAGTTGGTGGTCTTGTCATGCTGGTTGGGCGATTGCGTGGCAGTTGGCTCGTGGACGGGACGTAAGGGCGAAGTAGGCTGACGTGGAATGAGGTGCTGACGTACCAGTCAGCAGGGAGGAGGAGGTGGGCGGTGACGGGTGTAAGCATGTGGCTTATGCGAAATGGCCCGCAGTATCGGGGGCGGAGTTTCGGAGTGATGGGCAGTCGGAGGTTCTGAGTGTCAAGTAAAACTAAGTCGTCGGGCTGGTAAGTGACAGGTCTGCGGTGGCGGTCGGCGTTGCGTTTAGCGATGATGTTCGATTTTTTTATTGCGTCTACTGCCCGGGTCCGTGCTGCTTGTAATATTTCGGCGAACTGTTGTGCTCGTGGTACTGGGTTGTCGGGATTCGGGGTCATGGGTACTATTGGGTCTTGTCCGTAGTTTAGGTAAAATGGTGACTGTTGGGTCGTGGCGGATGGCGAGTTGTTGTACGCGAATTCGATTAGTGGCAGTTGCTGTTCCCACGTGGTTGGGTCGTCACACGTGGCCCTGATGAGTTGTTCCATGGTCTGATTTGTCCATTCTGTCTGTCCGTCGGTTTCGGGGTGGTATGATGAACTGAACTGCAGTCGCGTGCCGAACTGCTGCCACAGGTTCCGCCAGAAGTTGCTGGTGAATTTTGTGTCGCGGTCGCTGATGATCGCGGCGGGTATCCCGTGCAGTCGAACGACGGTGGAGATGAAGAGGCGTGCTGTTTCTTCGGCTGTGATCGATTTTTTTGCAGGCTGCGAAATGTGCCATTTTCGTTAGTCGATCGACGACGACCAGGATCGCGCCGTTCCCACTCGCCCCGGCTGGTAACCCCGTGACGAAGTCCATCGTCACCTGCTGCCAAGCACGCTCTGGGGGTGGTATCGGCTGCAACTGTCCCGCCGGCCGCTGTCGTGATGATTTCATGAGCTGACAAGTGGGACACGATGCCACGTGTCGTTGTACGTCGGTCAACATTTCGGGCCAGTAATAATACCGATGCAGCTGCTGCCGTGTTTTTTCTACTCCGAAATGCCCCGAAGTAACTCCGTCGTGTGCCTCCTGTAACAGTAATTCCCGTAGCAGTGTATACCCAGGTACCCAAATGCGGTCAGTCCCGGTTTTTACGTAATAGACTACCTTTGCTGCTGCGAACTGCTGCGAATTTCCTCCTGTGAAGAATGGATCCGTCTGGTACCCGTGGGTGAATAGGCCTGTCAGTAGCGGGCTTGTCTGGGCGAGTAGTATTGCGTGAATCTGGGCAGTGGGGCGGGTCAGTGCGTCAGCGATGTTCGAGGCTCCCTTTTTGTAAGTGACCGTATAGTGAAAGTTGGACTCGAGGAAATCGAGCCAGCGAATCTGTCGTGGGTTGAGGTGTGGCTGTGCGCGAAGGTACTGTAGTGATTTATGGTCTGTCCGTACTGTCACGTCCGCGCCAGTCAAGTAACAGCGCCATACTTTGAACGCGTGCACGATCGCAAGCATTTCGCGGTCGTGTATCGGGTAATTTTTCTCGGGCGGATGCAGTTTTCGTGACTCGTATGCGATAGGCTGTAGGCCATTGCCGAAATCCTGTAGCAGTACGGCTCCGATGGCGATATCGCTTGCGTCGGTAACTACTTCGAATGGGCGGTGTGGGTCGGCGATGCGCAGGACGGGCGGGGAACAGAGAACATTTTTCAAGGCAGAGAAGGCAGCATGCTCTTTCTCCCCCCACGTAAAAGCGACCCCCTTCCGCAGTAAGTCCGTCAGTGGGGCAGTTAACCGTGCCATATCGGGGACGAACCGACGTACATAATTAACGAACCCTAAAAAGCTCTGCAGCTCCGTGATGTTCGTCGGGGGATGCCACGCTTTTACCGTATCCAGCTTCTTTGGGTCGATTTCAACTCCAGCCTCCGAAATAACGTGCCCCAAAAATTCTAACCTA